ACGTCTTACGCGCCACTGATTCTGACGTATTTATACGCATAAATTCTAGCGGCTTCAAATCAAGCAGGAGAAAGCTGGTAGGCCCACATGTGAGAGGATGGGTCTGCATGGTCAGTGTGCACTATATAAAAAAAAATAGGGGAGCCAGTGGTGCATTGTGGGAATGCCATTTCAGCCCTCCTTTTTCAGCATGCCTAACGGTAAGAAATATGTGACTCCCCAGCAAATCTGGGACTCTTCTCTTCCCAAGCGATGCTCTAACACAGATGGAAGTGTCTGTGAAGATAAATTTCATGATACCAGAAGAATGAAGGAGGAGGAAGAGAAAGACTAAGAGGAGGAGGAGGAGGAGATGGAGGAGGAGGAGAAACAGGAGGAAGAGGAGGAGGCGGATAAGAAGGAGGAGGGGGAGAAGGAGGAGGAGAAGGAGGGGAGAAGGAAGAGAAGGAGGAGGAGGAGAAGGAGAAGGAGGAAGAGGAGATGGAGGGGGAGGAGATGGAGGAGGAGGAGGAGGAGGAAGAGGAGGAGGAGAAAAAGAATAGGTAATAATAATAATAGGTAATAATAAGTTCCCTTGAAGCATGATAAACAAATTCCACCCCTGACAGTGACATGATAAGCTGAGATAACATCTGATAAGAGCTGACGTTTGATGAGCATACACAAGGGTGGGGGAGGGTGCAGCTGATAAGAAAATATTAGAAGTGATTTTTGATGAGCATCGCCCTCACTTTGTTTTCGCTGGTACACAAACATGTCTGTCTGTCTGTTTGTCTGTCAAGCTTCCTGTCTATCTAGCTCTCTGTCTCAGAGAGAGCCACAAGACTGCGTCATCACCTTTACTCATATCTTCAAGCAGAGTATAGCACTTTGTCTGGATTTTTTGGGTTATCCTAGGTAATTTGCACTATGTATATTTATATTTATGTGTACCTGTGAGACAGAGATAGAGACAGACAGATAGAAAGAGAGAGACAGATTGAAAGAGATAGAATGAGGGAGAAAGATAATTAGATAGAATGGAGGGGAAGCAGCATCCGAACCCATTGTTTTGACAGGCGGTAGGGAGAGTGAGTAATGAGACAATGTGTCATTTTGACAGCTGCCGACTCCTGACTCAAAACAATTGTAAGCCACACACTCGCACACAAGACAAGCTTGCTGAATGGTGATAATAGCAGTTATATGAAAGTATCTAGTGACTATATATGTGTATATATATTATAGAAACCAGAAGGAAGAAGGGAAGGCAGGAATGAAGGAAGGATGAGATGAAAGGAAGGAAAAAAGTAAGGAAGGAATGTAGGAAAGAAGGTAGGAAAGGAATGCAGGAAGGTAGGAAAGAAGGTAGGAAGATAGGAAAGGAATGCAAGAAGGTAGGAGAGGAAGGTAGGAAGGAAGGAATGATGACACACGACCATTTACCTAGGATAACTACATAACACAACTGCCTGCTAATACTTTGAAGAAAACTGCTCAGACGAGGTATTTTGTCGTTGCACATAAAAAAAAAGTCCACAAAAATGCACACACACTCGTTTTATGTGTGAGGAGTATAAAACACCATTGTGTATGAAAACATGTTTCAAAGAGTTCCACAAGCTGCAGGACTTCTAGGAATATGTCCAGTGACTGTACATTGGTATATATATTATAGAACAATATTAATAAACAGTTGTTTGTATTGTTTGTTTTTGTAAACAAGTTTTGTAAATAATATAATGATAATTATGTTTGTGTGCTTATTGTGTTGTATACAACGAATGTATATATGTACATTGCACCTTACTTTGGTCTCACAGGTCACATAAGTTATGTGAAAAAATAAAATAGTGAAAAAACAACAAACCTTCAAATACAAGTAAACCAAAGTTTACTGGATGAGCGGCAGTCGCCTCTGTTTCCATATGCACCTCATTTTCTGCAAACTTCACGCCTCTATATCTCGGTAAGTACCGATGGCAAAAAAATTTTTTTGGCACGAAAACAATCAGAAAAATAATCTAAACATTTTCAAAAGAATTTTTTTTTTTTCGAATATTTGGCGAAATAGAATGACAGTTTCAGAAAGGGGCCTGCGACAGTCAAAGGGTTAAAGGAGAAAGGGTTACTAGTCCCTTGCTCCCAGCATTTTAGTAGCCTCTTATGACCCACATGGCTTACGGAGGAAGAATTCTGTTCTACTTCCCCGTGGAGATAAGAGGAAATAAACAAGAACAAGAACTAGTAAGAAAACCCAAAGGGGTGTGTATACATGTGCTTGTACATGCATGTGTAGTGTGACCTAAGTGTAAGTAGAAGTAGCAAGATGTTCCTGAAATCTTGCATGTTTGTGAGGCAGAAAAAGACACCAGCAATCCTACCATCATGTAAAACAATTACAGGTTTCCATTTTACACTCGGTTGGCAGCACGGTAGTATGTACCTCCCTGGGTAGTTGCTATCTACCAACCTACTAACTAGAGCTAGAAATTATACTCGAATAGATATGGAAACTGATGTGCATGTTTGAGAAAAGCTGAACACAGTGGACCCCCGGTTCGCGAAGTCATCGGCAACCGATAAATCCGGTATCCGAAGCATTATATCGCAAAAAATTTGCCTCGGCTCCCGTTACAAAACCCGGTACGCGATACGATTCATACAAGACGTGTCCACATGTAGCCTGAACTGCCCCATGTGTACCAGTGTTTACAAGCCAGCCAGTGTGCGCGCATCTAAGGATACATTCGGTACATTCCATATTACCCATATTATCACTGTTTTTGGTGCTTGTTTCTGCAAAATAAATCACCATGGGCCCCAAGAAAGCTTCTAGTGCCAACCCATCGAGACCAAGGGTGCTAATGACTATTGAAATGAAGAAAGAGATAATTGCAAAGTGGAGTACGTGTGTCGGACCTGGCCAAGTTGTATAGTAAATCCCAATCAACCATCTCTACTATAGTGAGCAGGAAAACGGCAATCAAGGAAGCTGTTCTTGCAAAAGGTGCAACTGTGATTACAAAACAGTGATCGCAAGTGTTAGAAAATGTTGAGAGACTGTTATTGGTGTGGATAAATGAAAAACAGATAGCAGGAGATAGCATCTCTCAAGCAATCATTTGTGAAAAGGCTAGGCAGTTGAATGAGGATTTAATTAGAAAAATGCCTGCAACTAGTGGTGATGTGAATGAATTTAAGGCCAGCAAAGGTTGGTTTGAAAGATTTAAGAATCATAGTGGCATACATAGTGTGATAAGGCATGGTGAGGCTGCCAGTTCAGACCAAAAAGCAGCTGAAAAATATGTGCATGAATTCAAGGAGTACATAGAGGCTGAAGGATTGAAACCTGAACAAGTGTTTAATTGTGACGAAACAGCCCTGTTTTGGAAGAAATTGCCAAGCAGGACCTACATTACTCAGGAGGAAAAGGCACTCCCAGGACATAAGCCTATGAAAGACAGGCTTACTCTTCTGATGTGTGCCAATGCTAGTGGTGATTGCAAAGTGAAACCTTTATTGGTGTATCACTCAGAAACTCCCAGAGCGTTCAGGCAAAAGAATATCCTCAAGGCTAATTTGTGTGTGCTGTGGAGGGCAAACACTAAGGCATGGGTCATTAGGGACTTTTTCTATGACTGATTACACCATGCATTTGCCCCCACTGTGAAAAATTACCTAATTGAAAAGAAATTAGACCTTAAGTGCCTCCTGGTGTTAGACAATGCCCCTGGTCATCCTACAGACTTGGCAGAGCGACTTTGTGGGGACATGAGCTTCATTAAGGTCAAGTTTTTGCCTCCTAATACCACTCCTCTCCTGCAGCCCATGGACCAGCAGGCCATTTCCAACTTCAAGGAACTGCACGCAAAAGCTATGTTTGAAAAGTTCTTTGAAGTGACCACAGATACTCTATTGACTCTATAGGAGTTTTGGAAGGATCACTTTAATATCCTCAGTTGTGTAAACCTTATAGGTAAGGCTTGGAAGGGAGTGACTAAGAGGACCTTGAACTCTGCTTGGAAGAAACTGTGGCCAGAATTTGTAGACAAAAGGGATTTTGAAGGGTTTGAGACTAACCCTGGGAATCCTATGCCAGTTGAGGAATCCATTGTGGCATTGGGAAAGTCCTTGGGGTTGGAGGTTAGTGGGGAGGATGTGGAAGAGTTGGTGGAGGGGGACAATGACGAACTAACCACTGATGAGCTGCTAGATCATCTTCAACAGCAAGAGGCCACACCTGAGGAAACTGCTTAAGAGGAGGGGATAGAGAAATTGATGAAGTTTCCTACTTCAAAGATTAAGGAAATGTGTGCAATGTGGCTTAAAGTGCAAACCTTTTTTGATGAAAATCACCCTGACACAGCTACTGCAAGCCGTGTTGGCAACCTGTACACTGACAATGTTTTGAACCACTTTAGGAAAGTCATAAAGGAACGAGAGGTACAGGCCTCTATGGACAGATATGCTGTGCGACAGAAGTCCAATGACTCTCAAGCTGGTCCTAGTGGCATTAAAAGAAGAAGGGAAGTAACCCCGGAAAAGGACTTGCTACCTCAAGTCCTAATGGAGGGGGATTCCCCTTCTAAACATTAAAAACTTCGACACTCTCCCCTCCTCCCATCCCATCAATCATCACCAGATCTTCATTAAAGGTAGGTGTCAATTATTCTATTGTGATTATTCTATTGTTATTATTGTTATTGTAATTATTCTATTGCATTAAACTTAATATTTCATGTGGTAAAAGTTTTTTTTTTCATACTTTTGGGTGTCTTGCACGGATTAATTTGATTTCCATTATTTCTTGTGGGAAAAATTTATTCGCTTTCTGATAATTTTGCTTTACGATGAGCTCTCAGGACCAGATTAATAACGTGAACTGGGGGTCCACTGTGTAAGTAAAAAGGTTTAGTGATCATGCATACAATGGCACAAGTACTTACTTTGCTGTGTGATTCATATGGCTTTAATGATTAAATAATATTAATGTTGCTACTTACTGTAAAAATATATGTTGAAGGTAGCTCTCTATGTTTGACAGTTGCTTATTGGAGGAGAATGCTGAGAAGGGGTTGTCTATCAGTGAAGATGACCAGCAACCATTTAATATTGCATTTATTATGAGTGAAGTGGATATAGTTGCTCCAGGATCAACTAAAGCACTTGTTACAAGTAAGCTTCATTGTTTTATCTTTTTTTGGTTTTTTATTGGCTTTTTACTGTATTACTTATGGAAATTTGAATTTTTAAAATTTTGCTAAAGTAATTTTAAAGAAAAATTACCAAAAGAAGTGTGGATTAGTGTATTTGACCTTGTTTTTAAAAATTTATAAAAATATGGGTTAAAAAGTGAAAAACCATTTTAATAGTATTTATTTTTAAGTTTCATAAGAGGAATTTTATTTTTTTAAAATTACAGAGGATTTCAAAGGCAAAGTTCTAAAATGTTTCCATTAAAACTAAATAAGTAATTTTTGTAAACCCCAACTTTGAGGGAGGGAAGTAGGTGGAAATTAAAAAAAAATTTGGGGTTTGCCAAAAAAAAGGGAAAAGGTAAAAAATGAAAATGGGGATGCCTATTTAATTGACCCCTTTGATTTGAAAGAAAAAAACATGTATTGGTAATAAAGTAAAACCACATTTTAATTAACAAGAAGGATAAATTTTAAATTTTAAAATATACAAGGTATATATAAATACACCTTAATTAAAGTAAGTTGGTTAAAATTTATTTATTGGTGGATAAAAGTGTAAAATGTTTTGGGTAAAGGCTCCCAGGATGTATCATGCTTAGATATTTGAGTTGGAAAACAATTCTGTTTTTGATAATTGGGAAAAATCATTATTTCGTTGTCTTCATTCTATAAATGACAGAATAGAATACAACAAAATACATACGAAATAATGAAGTCCTGATAAAAAAAAAATGCAAATTTTTTTCCAAAGTTCTAAAGACTGTGACACTGACAATAACCATTCTTTCATATAAAACCCCCCTAAATTTTGAGGGTAAAATTTATGATACCAGTACTAAACCCCTACCTTTAAAAATATTTCCCCCTCAAGGTTAAACCTCTCATCAACAGAACACATGACCATAACACAAAGCACAGATCACTCTTTGATGTTCCTCGTGTCCATCTCACACTATGTAAAAACTCAATTCACATAAAGGCTCAAAAATCTGGAATTCATTACCTGTGAATATAAAAGAAATACTCTCTGTTTATCACCTCAAGACTCTTCTTAAAAACCACTTACTCAACCACAACTAAATAAATACTGAATAACTGTATTTATGTTTTTTTAATTACATTACCTAATAGAATACTCCTTTCTCTTTAATGCACAGTAACTCATCAAATGACCATATGACCTGTTTCTGCACTACAAATCATTGATTTTATTCAATTTGACCGGATTATATTATAAATTATTATGCTACAAATTTGTAAAACCATAAAGTGTCTTATTTGAAATACGCATTTGTACTTCATGTTGTAATTTGTTTACTGTAATTTTTACCACTGAATATATCATTGCTTAGTTAATCTTAAGTTAATTTTAAGCCTGCCCATAATGCTCTGCATACAAGGGACTTTTGGCATGTACACTCAACCACTGTATTTCTTTGTACAACTATGTATCATGTCCAAAGAATAATAATTAAATAAATAAATAAATAAATAAATAAATAAAATAAATTGCTAAAAGGATTTAGGAGTACTGGTTAGCAGTAATCTAAAACCAAAACAACAGTGCATTAGTGTTCACAATAAAGCTAACAGAATCCTTGGCTTCATAGGAAGCAGTATAAATAATAGAAGTCCTCGGGTTGTTCTTCAACTCTATATGTCTTTGGTTAGGCGTCATTTAGATTATGCCGCACAGTTTTGGTCACCGTATTACAGAATGGATATATTAAATGCAATGGAAAAGGTAGGAGGATAACAAAGTTGATCCCATGTATCAGAAAACTTCCCTATGACGATAGACTGAGGGCCCTGAATCTGCACTCTCTAGAAAGGCGTAGAATTAGGGGGGATATGATTGAGGTGTGTAAATGGAAAAAAGGAATGTAAATAGTGTGCTAAAAATATCTAACATAGACAGGACTTGCAGCAGTAGCTTTAAATTGGAAAAATTCAGATTCAGGAAGGGTATAGAAAAGCACTGGTTTGGTAATAGAGTTGTGGATGAGTGGAATAAACTCCCGAGTACCATCATAGGTGCTAAGATGTTGTGTAGTTTTAAAAATAGGTAGGATAAATACATGAGTGGGCATGGGTGGGTGTGAGTTGGACGTGACTAGCTTGTGCTACTAGGTCGGATGCCGTGCTCCTCCCTTAGTGACATGTCTGACCTCACTAGATCAAGGCATTGGCTTAAGCTGGTGGGAGAATTGGACCTGCCTTGCATAGGCCAGTAGGCCTGTTGCAGTGTTCCTTCTTTCTTATGTTCTTAATACGTGTTTGGCAGGCTGGCTGGGTGGCTGACTGATTGCCTGCTTCTATCTTCATCTGTCTGTCTGTATTTATCTCTGTCTGTCTCACAGGTACACATAAATACAATTTTACATAATGTAAATTACCTAGGATAACCCAAAAAATCCAGACAAATTGCTATACTGTGCTTGTAGATATAATGCATAATAAGCATGACTGGCAAGTAATACGCATTTTCACTTGTTCAGGAATCAGATGTGTCTACTCTGCATCTCTGCATCATGTGTAATACCTGTTGGTTCATGAGTCGCTCTCTCCGAGACAGAAAGAAAGACAAGCAGAGAGACAGATAAGCAGATACAAGAGATAAACAGAGAGCTAGGTAGATGGACAGACAGACAGACATGTTTATGTGTAACAGAGAAAACAAATAAAGTCAAGGCAGTGCACGATCATCAAATGTCACTCTACTGCTGCACTGTCAGTAGTGGAGTGACATTTATCTTACACCATGCTTCAAGGAGTTTCATATATACTCCAGCATGTCTAAAACATTGTTGGGACCTATAACTGCTATGTATATATTTCTAGTACAGTAGGGCCCCGCTTTATGGCATTTTGCTTTATGGCGTTCCGCTAATACGGTCATTTCAAATTATGACCAAAACCTCTCTATACCGCTCCCCCCCACCTGACTTTCCAATACGGTCACAGTGCCCCACCCGGTTTGTTTACATTCTCCGTGAAATCCTTAAGCACTAAGTCTCTCCATTATGTCTAGAAACTCAAAAATTTCACATGTTTTTTAAGTTATTTCATGTTTTATATATACTCTGATAATTAAACTTATGTATACCTGTACCTAAATAAATTTACACACTGTGCTGGCATGCAGGTACACATTAAAATCAGTAAGAGTGTCTTATGTCTCAAGACATCATATTAGTAATAATAATAATCATTGAGTCACATTAAATGTCGTATACTACGTTATAATACACATTTTCATTAATCCATCTATGATATTTTTTCAAAATTCTATAATAAACATGATACATAACATATAAAGATGATAAATACACCCCACAGTAGAATAAATAAACATAGTAGGTTGGTAGACAGCAACCACCCAGGGAGGTACTACCGTCCTGCCAAGTGAGTGTAAAACGAAGCCTGTGATTGTTTTACATGATGGTAGGATTGCTGATGTCTTTTGTCTGTCTCATAAATATGCAAGATTACAGGCATGTCTTGCTACTTCTACTTACACTTAGGTCACACTACACATACATGTACACATTTATTTATACACACTCATCTGAGTTTTCTTTGATTTTATCTTAATAGTTCTTGGTCTTATTAATTTTCCTTTTATATCCATGGGGAAGTGGAATAAGAATCTTTCCTCCGTAAGCCATGCGTGTTGTAAAAGCCCAACTAAAATGCCGGGAACAATGGGCTAGTAACCCCTTTTCCTGTAAAGATTACTAAAAAGAATAAGAAGAAGAAAATTGTCAAAGTGGGAAGTCTGAATGTGCGTGGATGTTGTGCAGATGATAAGAAAGAGATGATTGTGGATGTTATGAATGAGAAGAAGCTGGATGTCCTGGCTTTAAGTGAAACAAAGCTGAAGGGGGGGGAGAGTTTCAGTGGAGAGGAATAAATGGGATTAGGTCAGGGGTTTCAAATAGAGTTAGAGCTAAAGAAGGAGTAGCAATAATGTTGAAGGATAAGCTATGGCAGGAAAAGAGGGACTATAAATGTATTAATTCAAGGATTATGTGGAGTAAAATAAAGATTGGATGTGAAAAGTGGGTTATAATAAGCGTGTATGCACCTGGAGAAGAGAGAAGTGTAGAGGAGAGAGAGAGATTTTGGGAAAATGTTGAGTGAATGCGTGGGGAGTTTTGAATCAAGTGTGAGAGTAATGGTGGTTGGGGATTTCAATGCTAAAGTGGGTAAAAATGTTATGGAAGGAGTAGTGGGTAAATTTGGGGTGCCAGGGGTAAATGTAAATGGGGAAGCCTTTAATTGAGCTATGTGTAGAAAGAAATTTGGTAAAAGTAATACATATTTTTATGAAAAAGAGGATAAATAAATATACAAGTATGATGTAGCACGTAATGAAAGTAGTTTTATTAGTTTAAATGTATTGGTGGATAAAAGGTTGATGGGTAGGCTCCAGGATGTACATGTTTATAGAGGGGCAACTGATATATCGGATCATTATTTAGTTGTAGCTACAGTTAGAGTAAGAGGTAGATGGGAAAAGAGGAAGGTGGCAACAACAAGTAAGAGGGAGGTGAAAGTGTATAAACTAAGGGAGGAGGAAGTTCGGGTGAGATATAAGCGACTATTGGCAGAAAGGTGGGCTAGTGCAAAGATGAGTAGTGGGGGGGTTGAAGAGGTTGGAATAGTTTTAAAATGCAGTATTAGAATGTGGGGCAGAAGTTTGTGGTTATAGGAGGGTGGGGGCAGGAGGAAAGAGGAGTGATTTGGGTGGAATGATGAAGTAAAGGGTGTGATAAAAGAGAAAAAGGTAGCTTATGAGAGGTTTTTACAAAGCAGAAGTGTTATAAGAAGAGCAGAGTATATGGAGAGTAAAAGAAAGGTAAAGAGAGTGGTGAGAGAGTGCAAAAGGAGAGGCAGATGATAGAGTGGGAGAGGCACTGTCAAGAAATTTTAATGAAAATAAGAAAAAATTTTTGAGTGAGTTAAACAAAATTA